ATATATAAAAATTGTAAGATAAGCATTTTTTTAACAAAAAATTTTTAGTTTTTTTTTCAGTACGATACACCGAAATTTATGAAAATACAAGAAAAAATCTTAAGAAATACAATGACACCAATCTAGCAAAATGCATGAAATTTGTTTGATTTGTAGCTTTTTAAAAATTTAGTTCATGGAATTGTATGATTAAATTTTTGGTCTATAAAAGTCAACCCGGGATGATCACTTTTTCTCCGAGAAACTGCAGTGTAAGCAACTATGAAAACTAAACTTTGAAAATGTGTTTCGGTATTGGAAACGAGCCTGCATGCCCATCAAAAGACAAAGCAATCTCCCAATAAGGAATGGCTTGTGATTTTGATAGTTGAAATGTAGTCTTTTTACCGGTTAGGCAATTGTTCTTATAAATCTACCACATTCTGTCTTTGCTCTCTGAAGTTGTTCATTTTTAAGCTTACCTGGTCAGAAACTTCATTGAAACTGAAATGGTTGCCCTAACTGTTTTTTTTTACTTTTGTCTGTTTACATTGTCCAATTTCTACAAAGTTATACATGCAGACTAATTCGGTCATTGCGAAAAAATGGTTTTTGTTAATAACCTTGTAAGACTAATAGTTACACTGTAAATTTGACGCTTATTTGAGGTGTCTGTGTGTGGAGCGGTTTGAAGAGCCTCCAAATCAATTTCACTCAATCAAAAATTTGTTCAAAATTATAGTTGTCGAAACAGAAGCTCTGATGTTGATTCTCAGTAAAACCATAACGCGTGCAAATTAAACGTATAAATTAAAGTGTAGTCATTCAAACAAAAGTTTTGGGTTGGGTTTCAATACAAATTATTTTAAAGGAAAGAAAACCCTTCAACCTTGGTTTTATCTAATTTCGGTGACCGGCAGGCTAACACAAACACCCACAGTTAGTATCTCAGAAAGACAATGTTTTGTGGCAAGACTTAACTAACAATTCGAAAAGTAAACATGTAACTTAGTGATAACATTATTTGTTCCCTTTTCAAATAAATTGACTGTTAGATAAACAAAGAAACTGCAAAAAGTTAACTATTCATCGTCAACAAGACTGGACAAACAAAATCCAAAGTTGCCCCTTCAATTATTTCAGTTTCAGACCATTTCGTTTCTCTAAAAAGTTCTGAAGTTGAAAACATTTAAAATCATTTTAAAAATTTGCATCAAACCGGTCGTCTCGAATTGAAATGTCTAACTTTTTTTATGATACAGCCTGAATATGAGAACCATACTTGAATGCGTTCAATGCGACAAGAAAACTGGTAAAAATCAACGCAAATCTTTCAAAAACTGAACGCCCAAAAAATCCCCATAAAACAGATTGTCCTGTTTTACTGAAAGATTTTGATGAATTTTTCAACGAACTTTTTTCCCACCTACTTTGTCATTTAACGCTTTGAAACACCAACTTCTAAAAAATTTCAGTTGCTAGCAATTTTTTTTTATCACGTTAGGTTCATAAGTCAAATAAAGCTGCTTATAGCAGTTCATCAGTTTATTCAGAATTCCTAAGGTCTAACGTCCAAGATAGTCACTCGCAATGTGACGGCAACTGACCCATCTTTGCTTGCCGCGAACGTTCCCTCTTCTCCTCCACCATCAATGGCATCTTATTTTGCCGATAAGGTAAATTCTCCAACGCTAGCTAGAACGAAGCTTGAAAAAGATCTTACCAAAACCATGAGTTCATAAGAGTCTCTTTGTTGTGATTATGACAGTGACTTAAAGTTGTAATGAAACCTTGAAAAAACCGTTTAAAAACAAAGAAGTTTTTTTTGTTGACCCATCGGTTTTACGACAAAACAGCCTTGAAACATTGATAAAGCTATTAGGAGATATACACGATGAAGTTCTAGCTAAAACATGACAATAACTTGACGCCAAACAAACCCTCAGATCATGTCGAATCTTTAAAATACTTATCTGCGTCAACAACTTCTAGCCAAAAAAGTTGAGAACTGAAAGTTTCAGCCTTAGAAGAAAAAAAACAAGTTAATTGATTAAGTATAATTTAACTGTGAACGCATTTCATGACTTCGGGTAAGAGCCAAATTCATGAGACAAAATAGCCTAACAGTTGGATGAATTCAGCATCGCAAACGTCCCAAATTCATTTTCGATTTTTGTTACTAGTGGTGAAACCGTCTTCTACTAGCATGTGAATGATTACATTCCGTTCAACTATTTTGGTAATTACCGAGATAGTAGTACAGTTTTTTCCAACTCGATGACAACAACGAACCACGACAAACAAAAGTATCCATCATTAGGAAATTTTGCTTAGATTATGACCATAAACCGTAAAAATCCAATACTTGCAAGAAACTCGTTTCAGTACAACAGTCAATACAAGGCCAAAAATTGAATTCGATTCCTGCAGATTTTGACGTATGTATGTCTTTAAGATGCAGAGACAAATCTTTCAACACGGTTTAATTTTTGTCGGAGCGATCAAAAAGAACGAAAGAGCAAAAAAGAACAAAGAGAGTGTCCATTTGCAGAATCGGCCCGCAATTTCGCAATTTAATAAATTCGGTATTTGGCGTCCTATTAGTGATCTTCTTTAGTTGCTAAAAAGTTTTGACCAATTTGTAAGCGCTGTCAACTCCGACTTTTTGAGTGATGACGTCCAGTCAAAATACTTAAAGAACCATTTGACTGTGAGAGCTTTAACGCTGTTGCTGAGTTCTCATTTTCCGGTGTGACGTATAAAGATGCTCTAAAAATTGTTATTCGTAAGTTTGGTTTGACTAGCAAATCACGCCAACTAAAAACGAAAATTTGATAAGTCAGACGTATATTAATTTTTATAGACAATCGACGGTTTTCAATAATGACTGAAAATAATGGTCTGATACCATCAGGGTCAGTGAACTTAAGAGGGTTTATCCACATTTTGATACCATTTCTTCCCTAACGTCCTGCTCATCTGACCATAATCAAAATTTTTAAAATGTCCGCTTTCTAGAGAATTCAATAAGCCTGATTGCAACAATAGTCACAAAATTCTCTGGCCAATGATTCAAATAAACCACAAACAGGAAGAAAACTTTTTTGCGTTCCCCTAACCTTTAGGTACGAATAAAGGAAAGTACTTGTGCCTCATCCGTTCTCCGTGTTAAATGTCTGTTTTAATTTGTTCAATTTGAAGTGATCAGCAAAACATCCAGTTCTAATAGTATGATTCTTTGTAAGTCAGCTTGCAGTCATTTATGGTTTTTCTGCTCATCATGATGAAAAACTTATTTTGCAATGACATAAAGTTGTATTGGATTCTTTGTAAGCCAGCTTGCAATTATTCATGAATTTTCTGCTCAGCTTGGTGAAAAACTTATTTTGTAATGACGTAAAATTGATTCAACACTTTCAAGTATTGATAAATAAAACTTATACAATTTTAATGCTGAGCGTAAAGAATTTTTAGGACTTTTTCCTGAAAAAAAAACACTTAAGAAATCACCAAGACGATGTGCGCAAGTAATCGATTATAACGGATTTTTATGAGAATTTTTTGACAATTATATTTGATTATAATTACCAAAATTAGGTATTTAAAAGAATTATAGTTGATTATAATCGATTATAATTGAGTATAGATCTTGCAACAAACCTTTTGAATCAATTATAAGCGCTTATTTTGTAAGAATTTGTCAATTCAAAACTTTTTTTTGAACTTTTTGGTTCATCTGAACACGAACATTTACCAGGAAACAAAAGTTTCATAGAGGTCCTTTCTTATTAGTGAAAAGATTCCCGCGATAGATGAAAAAAAATCAATCATGAAACTAAATCAATTTGCTGATGTTTTGATGGTTAAAAAAGCTTAAAATATGCATCACAAAACAACTCTAATGGGGAAGAACTGGACAAAAAAACCTTATAAATTTGAATTGATTTGAAAACTCTAAAAATATTTATCTAATTTTTCATAACAACTAAGGTCTACAAATAGCATAAAATATAAGAAATTTACATGCATCTTCGAAGACAAAATGGACAAACAAAAGAGATTTTAATCAATTATAATCGATTATAATGAATTTTTATGCAAAACTAATGAAGTAGAAAATTGAAAAAAATAATGAAGTATAATCAATAATAAATGATTACAATTTTATCGAAAAATAGACAAATAAATAATCGATTATAGTCGATTATAATGGATTAAAATTAATTACAACTTGATTTAAAAAAGAGAGATTGTAATCGGTTATTAATTGATTAAAATCGATTGTTTCTCAATTTTAGCAAGACTGGTACTAAAACCGTAATATTATCAATGATTGACGCTTGAAACTGGATGCGGTTAGGTTAAACTTTGTTATTTCCTTCTTATGCGAAATGCAAAACTGTTTTTTAAGACTTATGCAAAAAAGTTTGATACCCCTTGATATAACAAACTTTTGTTCCAAACGTGTGCCAGGTTTTGAGCTATGCAAGAATTGATAGGTTTGAATCAATTGAGTTCGAATAGATTGAACGGGCATTTTGAAGGACATCTGATTTTCAGAAAACCAAATATTAAAATATTAATAGATTTTTTAATTAGAAAAAACGGAAAACGTTTTTTTTGGCATCAAATCATTTGATCAGCAGCAAAATACTTGAGTCATTGGCCATACATTATTGACAACAATTGATTCATTTTTTTAAGGCGAGCAGCTCATAGAAGGATTACCATGACGTTTTCTATCATTTTTATAACGCCAGGCAAATGCGCTATAGTTGAAGGAGCTCTACTATTTGTAGCAATGACTCCAAGTCTATTTAGCAGACCTTTTCTTTCCGCTGTCCCGAGCTAGCACAAATGATTCTTTACTAAACTAGGGAGAGGCGCTCTGTCAAACAAATATGTTTGTCCGTGCTTTTTGTTCGTTTCTGGTTGAGGGTATCACAACGTATTCTACCTAAATAAAGGATTGAAACCCTTATATCTAGCGGAGTCATGGCCTTATAAGAGAAAAAACCAAGTTGTGCAAGAGAGTCTAATTTAAACGTATTTGATATGAAAAAGACAACTTTGTTACCAATCTGCGGGAATCTTTCGTAACACAAAGGGCTAATGACAGAAACTTATATTATAGCCCATCAGAATTCAGTATTCAAAAACTCTGACATTTAAGTCACAGTGTTTTAAACAGTTTGAATGATTTGGACTGATTTAAAGTTTCCTTCGGTATCATGGACTTTCTGCCTCATGAACAGCCCCCCTCCCTCTCATTTGGCCTTGAGTTTAGCAGCTGCCTCTTTGAATGCCTTGTCTGTCTCCTCCGACTTGCCAGAGTGTCTATTGTATTTCTCCTTCTCCTTCACCACCTCTTCCACACTGGTGCCGTACTTCTTGGCCAAATCCAGGGCCCTCTTCCATCGGAACAACTCCATGTTCATCTCTATTGCTCTCTACAAAATGATACGTTTGTTTTTCTCACTAAATTAAAAATTTAATTCAAATTAACTATTTGATACGTGGCCAGAAAAAAAAAGTTTGGTAACTAAAAACAACAAACACTAATTGTGCAGCCCAATTGTTCCGCTAGATTAGCAGCTATTCTCGGTTGGCCTAATAGTGTGTCACGGAGCTTACCTTGATTTTCTTGCTGTCATCTGGCTTGGCAGCTGCGGCAGCTGCAGTTGCCGGCAGAAGTCTGTCCTCGGCCGCCGATATGAGACCCTGGAGGAAGAACATCTCCGCCTCTTGGAATGCACTTTTCGCAATACTCTGCAATGCTTCCACCTGAAAACAATAAAAATCAGTTAACAAACATGTTTAGGAAACGACTAATCAATTTTGGTTGTTAAAATTTTATTGTTGTTTGAAGGATAGCCGGTCGCTGTGCAAATAGCTGTGCAGAATTCTCTGTCACCGGAGTTGTATGTTACGAGGTTCAAATGGTTAAGAAAAAGTCCAAAAAAAAATTAAATTTTCAAAAAATCTTAAAAATTTCCTAATGTCTATGAGTACCCCGAATGTCCCCAAAGTTGAGTTGAAGAATTATTCACCTTATCTATCTCCATGATAGACGCATATGCCGCCTGTGCTGCATTCAGATTCCTGCCCTGGACCGCCATTGCAGCCAGAGACGCCCACAGAGCACTGGCTTCTTCCGGGAATTGTTCCATTGACACTGCGAGTTGCAATCCATTTAACTTTGGAGCTCCTCAATTACATTATGTAAGCAAGAAGTTGAGGCAGATTAACTTATGTAAGTTTAGAGGGGGTTGATATGCAGCTCAGAAATTTGACAAGCTCTGGGTTGTCATAAAAAAAGAATCCTTATGAGAGAAGTGAAGGCATTACCTATTCTTCATGGTTAGGTGCAGGGGCGGATTTAGGAGGGGGAGGGGGAGGGGGAGGGAGGGGGGAGGGGGGTAGGGGGGGGGGGGAGGGGCGGACACTCTTTACCTTGGGGATTTAACCCCCTGCCGAACCAAAGGGTCCTCCCTTTGTACTATTTTGAGATATCCATTTTTGGTGACTGACCCTAAAAATTTTTTAAAGGCGTTTTTTGTTACTTATTTTGAGGAGGGAGCGCGCTCTGAAAAAACCGCGATTTTATGAACTAAACTCTCCAAAAAATGTTTAAAAATGCCTTTTTTTGCCGGTTTTTCCAAAATTTTGCCTGCGGCGCTGAAATTTTGGCCAAAACAGGGTCTTTATAGTATTTTGGGAATGCTAAGAAAATAAATTTGGTCGACCTAAAAAAAAGGTCGAGAAAATTTTCGAATATTTTTTTTTGAAAATCCGCCCCCCCTCGAGAAAATCTTAGATCCGCCTCTGGTTAGGTGCATCGATCTCGCGATAGCGCAAAACTAAAGCTCCAACTTATTGAAAAATTGAAGTTGAGCTTTTCAGCAGACTCTATATAAAGAATTTTGTTTTGATTTTGACGTAACGTTTTTATTAAAACTTATTTAATTTTATCAGGTAAAAATCAACTGCGAGGTATGTTTTTATCAGCGAGGTAAAAATCATGCCGGGTTAGGTTTTTTTTGGGAGCAGGATAAGGTTAAATAGATTGTTTCCTGAGTTGCACAGTCTCTCTGCCTCTCCCCACTTGTTCTTCTTCACCAGAGAGTGTAGTACAGTGGCGTAGGGGGTGATGCCTCGCCCGATTGTGGTCCCGTCCGATTTGCGAACCATCACCTGATTGCCCACAAATCCTGTCAAACAAAAATCTTTTTTCAGTTGACGAATGCATGCGAAACATCAATAGAACTTGATAGAATTTTTTAGCGTTGAAAGAATTTTTTAGCAATGATTACACAAAAAAAGGATGGAACTTTGAACAATTTTAGGTTTTTAGTCTTTTAGTCCAGCCCACTGAGACCTCATTTTCCAAATTCTTCAAAGTCAGTAGCGTGCCAGAAGGACGCGGCGGGAGGGGCGACCCCCTCCCTCAATTCTGGCTGGCAAAATTTTTCCAAAAGGTCCCCCATTTGTTTTAACTTTACGACAACGCTTTTGGGCTGACCAACCTTAAAATGTTTATAAAGGCGCCTTTGGCGCCAATTTAACTAATTTTGACGGGGGAGCGCGCGCCAAAAAACGCAATTTTTTGGTCAAAATTTTCCTAAAAGGTCCTAAAAACGCTGCGCAGAAATTTCGACAAAGTAGGCTCCTTATAGTATTTTCGGAGAGCTCGGAAAATCAAATTGATCGACCTAGAAAAAGCTCCGCAAACATTTCAAAATTTTTCGAAAAACCGCCCCCTCTCCCTAGAAAAGTTTCTGCGCACGCCACTGTTCAAATTCCAACCAAAAACTTTGATGATAAATTTAAGCTTGCGCTCTTTTCCACTTTCCCTACACTTTTCGATTTTTCACTTTTTTCAGTTGTCTTACATTTTATTATGGCTGACAGCGAGGTTTTACGATGAAAGAAAAGAAGAACAAATGTGTTCACAATAGTCAAGTTGTTCACTATGCTAATTTTCATTACATTGACAATGCAAAAGTGATAGTCAAATGTGTTTGTGCGTGTGGGGCGGGGGGGGGGGGGGAGAGCTTAAGCTTGCGACTTAAAAAACTTCAGAAAAAAAATAGAGGAAGAATTTGAAAGATTTTGCTCAATTCACACCAAGCTTGTGGAACCAGATCTAAACTAGTTTTTATCATTGGTTATTATTATGATATTTTATCTCTATAAAATATTGAATACTAACCAATCATACTCCATCAAACTAACAACCCACTTATTTGTAAGTGTTGAAATTACTTGTTGTTTCAACATCAGAAAAAGTTGAATTAAGCTTAGAATACAGTTGTTCTCATTCTGGAACGAACTCGCATAAATCGGTGTACACTAGATCTATTGAGACTAGGAGATATAAGAGTGAGATTAAGATTGGTATTAGACTAAGAAGTTGCACGAATCTATCCGGCCAAAAATAAGAGCGTGACGAGCAGACGGTGTACTTTATCTGAAATTACTCTATGAGTATAACCAAAAGGATATAACTCACTTGGGCGACTTGCCAGAATATTGACAAAAATTCATTTTCATTTTAAGTCCAATTTATACGCAATCGACAACGCCAACAATCAGGTTGCTTGCGCAAAGCAGATCACTGTTGTTTTTTGTTCTAAAAATTCAATCCCATCCAAAAAAAAACACATTGTTTAATTGGGAGCGACGGTCATAATTTTTATTATTTCTGTTATTTTTGGGGAAGGATTAGTTTTGTAAATTTTCCCTATTTTTATGTGTTTGCCGCAATTCTCTACCTGTGATCATGGGGTTCTTTCCAAACTCTGAGCTGTCTACGTTCAACAGAGTCATGGGCAGGAGGTCCCTGTCCACGAAGACGACATTAGGGAAGAGAATGACAGTGAAGTGGCTGTCATGCATGACTGCGAGGATGTTGGCCGAGTCACACCAGGCCATAGAAGAGACCATGGAGGTGAGTTTTACTGCCTGCTGATTGGCTGCCGACTGCACACTGCCCGACTTGCCTGTTGTAGCGCCACTCGAGGAGTGCTTCGGAACCGCCTGGAAATACACGTCATATTAATAACTCAAATTTAACTTGAAAAAAGAAACTTAGTGATCAAAATTAAAGCTTATGTAAGACGGCAACATAGCTTGAAAATTTTGGCATTAGTTATCTGGGAGTCTCACTTACCAAAATTATTCTAATAGTTGTCTTGGCTCTTTTTCCTTTCCCCCTCCTCACGTAAGCACCAATTTTATGGCTTAACGAGCGTTTTTACAATGTTAATCATGATGACCAAATATGTTTGTCATGGCCTAATTAGTTCGCATGCCCAGTTTCGTAACATTCGGATAGCGTAAACAAAATTTCACTAATAAAATTTTGCAGGTGGGGGAAAAGGAAAAAGAGCCATTGTCTCAAGTAATTCAAAATTATCGTAGTATTTTTCAAAACACTTCTCAAATTTCAAGTCGCAAATTTTTAATGAGCATTATTGTTCCTGTAATGAAACGCTGAAAAAAAAAATGATAAAATTTCTAAAACTCAACAAAATACTTACTTTCAAGTAGACATCGTTGTTTTTGTCAATATACGCTACGTGTCTGCCACTTCCATGTTGGTCCAGAGCCAAAGAAACGATCTCCTGGTTCCTTCCCTGAGAAGCATCCACCAAATCTACCGACTTTTTCCCTCCCGCCGCGTGATCATCCGTGTTTTTCAGGTAGTTCCACTGCGAGTTGATGTTATCCCAGTAGTAGAACAAAATATTCTTTTCATTTTTGTAATCTTTAATTGCAATCGTGTCGTTTGCGAATGAAACAGTTTTGGGTGTGATCACATTTGCGTTCACGTTTATGTTTTTAAAATCAACAGTGCCTTTCATTTGTTTTCCCGTGTCGTAGAAGTACATGTTTATTCCTCGCGAATGAACCACAGCGAAATATTTCTCGCACATTCCAATAATTGGAGCAAAACTCTCGGTGAAATTTATCTGATGGTCCTTAACTCCTAGAGCTTGCACGTTGAATATGTATATGAAAGACATGGTTACAACTATAAGGTGGTTGTGTCCAAGAGCTGCATTTATGATTCGATCGTTGAGGTCTTTCCGAGTTTGGGTTCCGTTGATAACGTCAATTATTGTCAGTTCCTTGGGACCTAAAACAGATTTTTCCATTGAATCTTGATGCGCATACTTTAACTAGGAGATTCTTGGGCATTTTCAACCAAAAATTTTCATTTTAGTTTTTGAAAAAAGGTCTGGCGGACCTCAATTCATTCCCTTTTTCAAAATTGGCTGTGTTTTTATAAAGCTTCAAATCACGTTTCATGAGGTTTTGATATAACTCTTTTTCATCTAGGAGAAAAGTACACAATTCATATTATCAATCAAATTTAAGACAGCCCGCTGAAAATTTTTCACCGATGATTTCTGAACAATTTAAAACTTTTCAAAATAAATTTCTGATAGCATCTCATTTAAGCAATCAAGAACGAAGATACTTTAACTCATTAACAGTACTCAGCAATATGGGAGATCAAAATTTCTGCGATGCAGACCTGAAATGATGGCCTCGTAGTTTTTCCACTGGTATTTCTTGTCGACCACATTTCCGAAGACGACGTGTCCGAGGGCGGAGGCACCTGCCACTTGGGTGCTGTCATTGGACCAGGCCAGGTTGAACACACTGCCCATCTCTCGCTTTTCCAGACACATCGAGGGCCCATTCTTGTCACACAATCTGAAGTTAAGATCATTCATAACAATGTTGAACATTGCTGACATTTCTGACATTTCCCAAAAGTCCCATTAAACAAAACACATATACAAAAAAAGACAATATCCCAAAAAAGTTATCAGCTTTTTAACGCAGAATCGGGGGAAAGAATTTTTTCTTATTTCGAAGAGATGAAGGATAGCGAGAAAGTAGAATGCACCTTAGAGTATTGTATGATCCGACTGCAAATAGAGTTCCGTCAGGCGACCAAGCTATGGACGTGATGGGGTGGTCATGGCTTTGCGGAGAGCTGGAGAAGATCACTCGGCCATAGCTGTCCCATACTTTGTACTTTCTGTCTTCCCCTCCGGATACGATTAAGTTGTTCATCGGATTCCAGTCTACCTGCAGAAAACTTCAAACTCATTCGGTTTCAAAAAAAGTTTTTTGTTTTTCTGAATTTAAAGAATAAAAAAGAAGTAATTTTTAATAAGCTTGCCATAGAACTGTTTCTTAAACAAACTATTATAAAGAAAAAAATACATTTCTTAGAAAAATAAAAAAGAAAGATGCCATAGAAAGCTTGCCAAAAAATTGTATGTAACAAAAAAGACTTAGGAAAAAAGCTCTGTTATAATAATGACTTCGGAATTTAGCATTGTTAGCATAATACTTGAAGCAAAAATGAAATGCAGACAAAATATAGTTTTTACAGAATTAAATTTGTCTTCTGTTTCCTTCCTTCTTTGGTTTTCAATAAAGCGAAAGATCTCCAAGGAGAATTAGTTTTTTAAAAAAAACATCTTCAAAATGAACTAAATTAGGCAAAATTTGGTATAAAATTGCCAATGAATTGATGTATAGGTTGCAGCTCTCTGAATACAAATATTTTGTAGTATTTTAATTTTCAAAATTAAAAATCAAATATTAGAGGTTGATGGAATTTGACACTGACCTTGAGAATGAGAGCCTCGTGTGCCTTCCACCGCACAGGTGCAGTTGATGGCTTAGTGGACGCAATCACCAACTCCTTATTCTGAGAGTACACAAACTGCTGGCTCTGTTCCGACTCATTCGAAGCACCCCATGCGAAAGTGTACACTGGAAAGTTGAGCTGCAGTTTGTTACGCAACATGCCAGACTTACTCCAGATTTTAATCTCTCCATCTTCTCCACATGTGCCTGAAAAAAAACATAACAAATGCATGGGTCTCATCAGTATTAAGTTTATGCATAACGAGAATAGGTTTGAAATAGTCTAAGTAGTGTAAATGCCAATTTTTGACAAAACAGCCTTGAAACATTGATAAAGCTATTAGGAGAGATACACGATGAAGTTCTAGCTAAAACATGACAATAACTTGACGCCAAACAAACCCTCAGATCATGTCGAATCTTTCAAATACTTATCTGCGTCTACAACTTCTAGCCAAAAAAGTTGAGAACTGAAAGTTGCAGCCTTAGAAGAAACAAAACGAGTTAATTGATTAAGCATAATTTAACTGTGAACGCATTTCATGACTTCGGGTAAGAGCCAAATTCATGAGACAGAATAGCTTAACAGTTGGATGAATTCAGCATCGCAAACTCATTTTTCGATTTTTGTTACTAGCATGTGAATGAGTACATTCACTTCAACCATTTTGGTAATTACCGAGTTAGGAGTACAGTTTTTTCCAATTCGATGACAACAACGAACCACGACAAACAAAAGTATCCAACATTAGGAAACTTTGCTTAGATTATGACCATAAACGGTAAAAATCCAATACTTGCATGAAACTCATTTCAGTACAACAGTCAATACAAGGCCAAAAATTGAACTCGATTCCTGCAAATTTTGGAGTATGTATGTCTTTAAGATGCAGAGACAAATCTTTCCACACGGTTAAAATTTTGTCGGAGCGATCAAAAAGAACGAAAGAACAAAAAAGAACAAAGAGAGTGTCCATTTGCAGAATCGGCCCGCAATTTATTAAATACAGTATTTGGCGTCCTATTAGTGATCTTCTGTAGTTGCAGAAAAAAGTTTTGACCAATTTGTAAGCGCT